ACATCAGAGGTTCATATAGTGAACTCAGTGTAGAGCTATTCACCCTGAGGTCAACACAGAGGACAAGGGGGCACTCTTTACGTCTGGAGGAAAAGAAATTTAATCTCCAAACACGGAAAGGTTTCTTCACAGTGAGAGCTGTGAAAATGAGGAATAGACTCCCCCAAGAGTTGGTTGTGGGCCAGCTCAGTGGATTGCTTCAAAAAAGGCCTGGATTCTTTCTTAGATACACAGAATATAACTGGATACTAACATTTATAGGTAAAGTTGATCCAGGGAATATCGGATTGCCTCTCGCGCAGTATCGAGAAGGATTTTTTTTTCCCAGTTGGTGCAAATTGGATCATGCTTTGCTGGGGGGGGGGGTTGCCTTTTCTCTGGATCAACTGTGGGTATAGGATTATAATTTTTTTTTTTCTTTGGTTGAACTGGATGGACTTTTGTCTTTTTTCAGCCAAACTAACGTAACTATCTTCCCAGTCCACTGTCTTCCATGACAACACCAAGAGGCTTTTCCACCAGCTCCAGCTAGCCCTGTGGTTACGGTACCATTGCTGAGCATGGCCACTCCACTGATAGAGGAATGCGAGAACCATTCAATGCCTTCTGATGAAATTTCCCTAGTGTCCTACTATAGGTCTTGTTTAAGATCCATGGAAAGCAGAAAGCTGGGGACAATCCTAAACAGGCCTTCCACTAAATAAGATATGGACTAAAAATGGAAAAACTTGATGCAGGCCTTCAAAGGGAGAGACTTTGCTCAAACCTAAATCACACTACTTCCAGTGTGGAAAACCTAGAACATGCCACTGCTTCCATTTAACAATTTAGGTAGAACATTTACAGTAGGTTTCAGCCTTGACAGAAGCCCAAACCTCCCTGGAACAGTGCGTCTAAACCCATCAGTTACTCCTTGATGATATGAATAATAGCAGCAGGCAGAATAATGCCAAGATAAAGGGCCTTCCAGAGGCTGTACAATAAAATGTTCACTAGGAAAGACCCCAGTGAAAAATAAGTGTATCTCTCCCCATTGAGCTTGTGTCACAGAGAAAAAGCGACCCAATGTTACAATGTTTTACATTAAAGTATCTTTATCATGATTTTCAAATCCATTAGGAGTTCATCATCATTTCTAAAATTAACTTCTATTAAAAATTCCTCTTACTAAAATTACATTAAGTAGGTACAGCAATCCCCAGACATTAAAGCTTTTATTTGCTTTTGCTATAAAAGAAGCAGCATCTCTGCAACATTTTATTAAAGCTATTCAAAATTGTATGAAATGTCTACCTTTTTATTTATTCATTTTATGAAAAGCAGTTATTCTATAACTATGATTATCAAAATAAGCAGTAAGGTAAATAAATTAGGTTTTAAAGGGGATTTTGAAAAAAATTCTCAAGGACTTTCCTAAATATTCCACATGTCCTAAATTTAGTTTTAGTTGGTGTGATACACATTAAACATTATACCTGGGTATAATACATATAGGAATATAGTAAAACACAGGGAAACAAACTATATAGACCTGAATATTACACCAGTAGACAGTTGCATTTTAGTTCTTGGAAAAGTAACTTAAAAGATTTCCATACACAAAGTTGTTGGTATCAATGAACTCTTTTAGATGTGATTTTAGTAAATGTTTTTTTAAATAATGCTTTTCATTTTCTGCCAATTTATTAAATGACACAATTAAAAAAAAATAAATAAAAAAGGAGTAATTGTTATTTTAATGTAGTAAACGTCAATGAACAGTAAACGTGAATGAATCAGTATTAAGATGTAACTTATCACATAAGTTTAGCATGTAAAATATTTTTACCAGTGGTATCTAACCATTCTGGAGACACACCAAGCACTGGCATTCTATTGTCTTTCTTATCTATGTAAATAATTATACAGGTCACAAAACAAATGACTATTATTGTAAATTCCCCTGGTCGACCAAAACGTAATGCACATTTTTAGAGTTTGCAACATTATAACCAAACGCAAAAGAGCATAGATAAAGACTACTTTCCAATGTAGGGGCTTACATTCTTATTAAAATGTTAGTAAAGGTTAGGGGTAGGGGTTAGTAATAATACTGACAGGGTTTCCCTATGTTTTGTCACTATGTACTTAGCCAACTAGCCAACATACAGTACTAAGATCAGCACTATTGCATCTATGCCATGGGTCTTGCATCTTGCATGCCATGGACAACTAAATTCTATGCAAATGCACCAGAAAATCCCTTTACAAAAAGATTTGCCCTACAAGGATACTGTGAATTATGTTTATAATCCAAAAACATCACACCCACATACCAACCCCTTCGATAATACAAAGCCTCAATATATTAAAAACATTTAAAACACACTTAATATACTCTCAAATGAGACAATACACATATAATGAGGCTTCCAGCCAGAACTAAGATCAGAGCCTTGATTTGGTAGGATCCAGAATGTATCCATTGCCATCTAAGCACAGCTTTCAACTGGTGACTTTGTAGTTCGCCAGGCAACTATGTGATAATAAATGGTTTCATATGGTCACTATCTTTAAATAAAAGTTTTTTTGGCCTTATCAGTCATATGTACAAGATCAATGCCAAAATTTCACAATCTCTGCTAGGGTATGCAAACTTATGAGCACAACTGTATGATATATATATTTGATGGATCCATGGTATGGGGTAAGTACTGTAGATATATGCATCTTATGTATAAGAAAGCTGTGGTTGATCCATAAAAAAATGTGGGGTTCTGAGTATACCTTTTTTTGATACATTGATGCTGTTATTTTATTATATATACACTATATTGCCAAAAGTATTGGGCCCACCCTCCAAATCATTGGATTCAGGTGTTCCAATCACCTCCATGGCCACAGGAGTATAAAATCAAACACCCAGGCATCCAAACTGCTTCTAGAAACATTTGTGAAAGAATGGGTTGCTCTCAGGAGCTCAGTGAACTCAAGCATGGTACCGTGACAGGTTGCCACTTGTGCAATAAGTCCATCCGTGACATTTCCTTGCTACTAAATATTCCACGGTCAACTGTTAGTGGTATTATAACAAAGTGGAAGCAACTGGGAACAACAGCAACTCAGCCACCAAGTGGTAGGCCACATATAAAATGACAGAGAGGGGTCAGAGAATGCTGAAGCGCACAGTATGCAGAAATCACCAACTATCTGCTGAGTCAATAGCTAAAGACTAAAGGCAATTTAGATTTGACTACGAATATCCAAATACATGAAATCTGGTCCAAAACTAATGTCCAATCCAATTTTCAGAATCAAGCTCATTTCATCACTACCTTCTCAGATGTTGATAAAGAATGCATAAAAGTATTATGAATTAGATTATGTTGAAATGAATTGAAATTGTATTGAATTGTAAATTGTAAAAATAAGTATTGCTATTATGTTTCCTCACCAGTCAGTTTTTCAGTTGGACCTTAAAAATACTCAGTGCTCACAGGCAAAGAGTAGCATGTAAACTTCTAAACATCAACCTCGGATGCCCCCCATCCCCATAATCTTCTGGTGCAGCAGGATTTGATAGAACCATGGGAGTTGTCACAGGCACTCATCAAGAGTTCCCAACCACACCCACTCTTTCCACCCAGTTCCTCTATTCATAGAAGCTGCTACTACTGCTTCTATGAATGAAGCAGAATTTAGGAATAAAGGACAGGTGGATGATTGAAAGGTCTACCCTCTACCTTCATAGAATGTGTTTCATTCTATAGTATGGCTTTCTATGATTGTAGAACTGGGTGAATGTGGTGGGCATAGATGAGTACTCTTGATAAGTGCCTGTGACAGAACCCTTAGTTCTATTAACCTCTGCCACGCTGAAAGGTTATGGTAGCGGGCCCATTGATGTCTGCTAAACAAGGACCCTTGTGCCTATTCTTTAATGCCTAAATTTAATTTAAAAAAAGATAAAGTACCAGTGTAGAAGATTGTTACATGATACAAAGAATCCTGTAGAAATCACATGAAAATCATAAAGCTTATGAGCTACTGGCAAGGGACATAAAAGAGGTGCCTTGACACTGTAGCACTGAGAAGCTCTCCTGACTGAGCAGTTTATGTACAGATTGTGAAAGGATAATCAGATTTCTTTGTCAATGACTATCAGTGTTATGTTAAATATCAACTAACAACATTTCTTTGTGTTCCCCAGGTTTTGTTAAGTCAAAAATGCACAATATTAGCAAGAGTACAGTGATGGAGTTCCATCTTGTGGGGTTTTCCAGATTTATTAAATACCATAGTGTAATTTTTTATGCGGTTCTATTAGCCTACATCGTATGTATCATTGGAAACCTTATTATTATTGTATTAGTTACAACCTGTAAAGCTCTTCAGATCCCAATGTATTTCTTCATTACCATATTTGCCATTTCGGAAATTATGTGTGTTTTCAGTAACTACCCCAAAACTCTTGTACATTCTTGCCAAGACTGATTATAGGATATCTGTGACTGGCTGTTTTACACAGATGTATGCTTTACATGCTTTAGGAGAAACAGAATGCTTTCTTCTTGCACTGATGGCCTTAGATCGATACTTGGCAATTAACAATCCGTTGCGTTATTCATCAATTATGAACTATAGGTTTTGCTGTGTGTTAGGTGCTCTTCCGTGGATGGCTGGGTTCATTATTTCATTTATACCTGTCATTTTTACAGCTTTCCTGGAGTACTGTGGTCCTAATAATATTGATCAGTATTTCTGTGACCTGGCTACACTTCAGAATTTGGCATGTTGTGACCCAATGATCAGTAATTTTGTCACTATGTTGGCAGCCATACCTGCGGTTGTCTTTCCCTTTACTATGATAGTAGTTTTTTTACATTACAATATTAAAAGCAGTGCTAAGGATAGACAGCAATGCAGGGAAAAAGAAGGCATTTTCTACATGTTCCTCCCATCTCATTGTAGTCTGTCTGTTCTATGGCACTATATTATTATTGTCTATATCAGGCCAAAAGGCAGCTATTATGATAAATTCCTTTCGCTTATGTACACTGTTGTCACTCCAATGCTAAACCCCTTTATTTACACTCTTAGGAATACTGAAGTAAAAAAGGTTTTAAAAAAGTCACTCGGGACACTTCAAAAGAAGGTTTTGTGACATAATCACATTTTAGTGCTGGTTCAAAACAGCAATGTGCATTACAGCATGGCCAATGGTGTGCGATCTGAATGCAGAGTAGCCAAACAGTGCATCACTCTTTACCCTTCTTTTCATTAGAATTGTATTGAAATGCCACAATGGGTCATTTCATTGTTATTTTGCAAGATTGCATTGCACCAAGCTAAAAAAAGCACTGCTTTTACAGGTAACAACTGCTGTTACAGGGCTTTTTGCCTTGTCTATGCGTTGAGACTGTATTGGGCAAGTCTGCTTTGCAAAGCTTCAAACACTTTTAAGTTCTTTGTACCAGAAGATATTGTACACCATTTTTCCTCCCTTTTCACTTTTTTCTACCTTTCCGTTCTATTCTGACTAGCAAGTCTCTTTATCTCCCAACCTCACAAATGTGTAAAATTGACATATCTAAAGTATAATGATTGGATAACCCTAATGGGAAAACATAACAAGCGAAAGATGATTGCTGACTAGTTTTAATAAACCACTCTGATGCAAACCATGTTTTACTTTTTTTTTTTTCTTGAATTTCATTATATTGTATATCCTCATTTATAGAATGGAAAATACTGGATACATTGGGTTGTCTTCAGTATTGAACTAGTTTTTCATTATTTTCCCATTATGCACATTTGTTCAGTGGAAACAAAGCTGTGTGCATACAAGGTTCCCCCAGGTTATGCCATACTCTGGTAGCATTGATGGCTCAATGTGTATGTTTTTTTTTCCAGTGTCACTGGTCAAATTGTACAAAGTTGAGGGCTTCAACTGCACATCCAAAATTATACCAGAATACTGTTTCATACTGTTCCATATTACCACATACAGCTTAATGCACCTCAGGCATGAAATTGGTGTTTTTCCATTTCGCCCTCAAAGTCACATTAAGAGGATCCTGCTATGTTTTTTTTGCCTTTGTTTTTTTACCTCAATTGCATTGCCCAGATCCCCATGTCCTTTTTTTTTTTTTTTTTTTTTACTATATTTAGCCCACCTTCCTTTGTACTATAAAACTAATATAGTAGAGGTTCCACATCCCCAATATAGAGTAATTTGAAACAAAATCCAAAGACACACTTTTAAGGTATTCAACACAGTGTTGATGATTAAATCAATTAGATTTTATCCAATACCAAAACATTTAAATGCTAAAAAGATATTTTACTGTACATTTTTCTATTCAATTTTTTCAGTGTTCAGATTATTAACATATAACCCAACAAATTAGGTAAACTTTAATATTTTTGAGCAGTGTATATAAAAATGTGGCCTTGTTCACTCCCTCCCAAAAAATGTAAAGGAACAATTTTTAATCAGAGTATAGCATCAAGTCAGTTAAACTCCTGGGACATTGATCTGGTCAGTTAAGTAGCAGAGGGGGTTGTTAATCAGTTTCAGCTGCTTTGGTGTTAATGAAATTAACAACAGGTACACTAGATGGGAAACAATGAGATGACCCCAAAACAGGAATGGTTTTTACGGGTGGAGGCCACTGACATTTTTTCCCTACTCATCTATTCTGACTGTTTTTCACTAGTTTTGCATTTGGCTAGGATCAGTGTCACTACTGGTAGCATGAGGATGATACCTGGACCCTGCAGAGGTTGCACAGGTGGTCCAACTCCTCCAGGATGGCACATCAATACGCGCCATTGCCAGAAGGTTTGCTGTGTCTCCCAGCACAGTCTCAAGAGCATGGAGGAGATCCAGGAGACTGGCAGTTACTCTTACTCTAGGGGAGTTGGACAGAAACATAGAAGGTCCTTAACCCATCAGCAGGACCGGTATCTGCTCCTTTGTGCAAGAAGGGACAGGATTAGCACTGCCAGAGACCTCCAAAATGACCTCCAGCAGGCCACTGGTGAGATTTTCTCTGACCAAACAATTAGAAACAGACTTAATGGAAGTGGCCTGAGGGCCCGACATCCTCTAGCGGTCCCTGCGATCACTGCCTGGCACCATAGAGCTCAATTGGTATTTGCCATAGAACACCAGAATTGGCAGGTCCGCCACTGGCACCCTGTGCTTTTCACAGATGAGAGCAGGTTCACCCTGAGCACATGTGACAGACGTGAAAGGGTCTAGAGAAGCTGTGCAGAACCTTATGCTGCCTATAAAATTTTCTTTGTCTGTCTGTCTTTGAATTCAGTCCTCTGTAGGTTGATAATTTTCATTTCCATCAAACTATGGGGCATCCTTATGTTCCTAACACATTACCCAGTCCATATCAGTATAGATATCCAGCATGATATTTTTCCCATTGAGATCTGATGTGTTTTCAAAGTGTTCCTTTCATTTTTTTGAGCAGTGTATGTAGAGGTCAAATTGGGGCATCACCACTTAAAAACATTCCCTAAGCGAGCGCAGGGGTATTGCTGAAAAAAAGGAAAGGGACCCTGCCAAGTGACATTAGCTGTGGTAGAATGTGATGCATTATCTAAAGGAGAAAGCATTGGGTACAGAAAAAGTGTAAAAAAAAAAAAAAAAAAGGAGGGGAGGGGCAAGATGTGTAATGATGATATATGGGGATATTGCAATAGCAGAATGAAGTCACGCTTTCTCCAAACTCTGCAGAATCTCACATCATCCTGCCTCAGCTGACAATATTACAGCTTGATTTTCCCATATCAAGAAAGAACAAGCCCTCCAGGACTTGTTTCAAGTCAACAGCTGGTTCTATACATAACTTCTTTGGCCATCCACAGGCAGACTGTCCCAGAGTGGCCCAGCAGCCCTTTTTAATGCACCATCTTTAAACAGCAAGCACATACGGGAAAAATAAAAATGCTCAATTTCAAGAGAGCTAATTTTCCAAGGCTGAGAGCTGCTCTCCAAGACTTAGACTGGGAGGGAATATTGGCATTGATGAACACAACACAGAAATGGGAGTTCTTCAAAAAGACTGTATGTGAACACACTGCAAAATATATTCCCATGGGCAACAAGTTTAAAAGGCTAAAAATCAAACCTACGTGGCTTACGGCCAAAGTTAAAAAGGCTATAGATAATAAGAAAAGAGCTTTTATTCAATATAAAAATGAAGGAACACTATCATCTTTTAAACATTACAAAGAATATAACAGAATATGCAAAAAGGAAATAAAGGCCGCAAAAATTGAAAACAAACGACAGATTGCAAAAGATAGCAGGACCAACCCCAAAAAATTCTTCAAATATATTAATAGTAAAAAGGTCTGGTCCGAGCATGTAGGCCCTTTACAAAATAATCTAGAGTGGGAGAGTGGGTGACTGGGGACAAAGAGAAGGCAAATTTATTTAATACCTTCTTCAGCTCTGTATATACAAAGGAGCATGGGGGGGATTCTTGTCCATAGTGGGCATGGTATTGACACAGCTCCAGATGATCCACATTGGCTCACAATTGATATGATCCAAAAATATTTAGACAGAATAAAGGTGAATAAAGCACCTGGACCGGATGGCATACACCCACGGGTCCTTAAAGAATTGAGCTCTGTCATTTCAAAGCCATTGTTTCTAATTTTTAGGGACTCTTTAATGACTGGCATAGTACCACTGGACTGGCGTAAGGCCAATGTGGTGCCAATATTTAAAAGGGGTCACAATCTTTACCAAGTAATTACAGACCTGTTAGTTTAACATTCTATAGTTGGGAAGATACTGGAGAGTTTAATAAAAGACCACATAGATGAGTTCTTTCTGGAAAAAAATATTTTAAGCAACAGACAGCATGGATTCATGAAACACAGAAGTTGTCAAACAAATCTGATTTCTTTTTATGAGGGGGTGAGCAAAACCTTGGACAGAGGGGTAGCAGTGGACGTGGTATACTTGGATTTTGCAAAAGCGTTTGACACAGTTCCCCACACAAGGCTAATGTGTAAGGTAAAGTCTACAGACTTGGAAAATCCATATGTAAATGGATAGAAAACTGGCTAAAAGATCGTATTCAGAGAGTAGTGGTTAATGATTCATACTCTGAATGGTCTGGGTTGTCAGTGGGGTACCCCAAGGTTCAGTGTTGGGACCCTTACTTTTAATATATTTATAAACGATATAGGGTCTGAGATTAAAACTCCCATTTCAGTCTTTGCAGATGACACCAAGCTGTGCAGTGGAATAATGTCCTTACAGGATGTCTCCAACTTACAAGCCGACCTCAATGCACTGTTTAATTGGACAACTATGTGGCAAATGAGATTTAATGTTGATAAATGTAAGGTTATGCACTTGGGGGTTAAGAATATGCATGCATCATACATACTAGGGGAGTACAACTGGGGGAATCAATCAATGGTGGAGAAGGATCTGGGGGTTCTGGTAGGTCACAAGCTCAATAATGGCATGCAATGCCAAGCTGAGGCTTCTAAAGCGGGCAAAATCCTCTCTTGTATTAAAAGAGGTATAGACTCCAGAGAGAGAGAGATATCATATTACCCCTGTACAAATCATTAGTAAGACCTCATCTGGAATATGCAGTTCAGTTTTGGGCACAAATTCACAAAAAGAACATTGGGGAAGTTGAGAAAGTACAGAGAAGGGCAACTAAACTGATACGAGGCATGGAGGAGCTCAGCTATGAGGAAAGATTACAGGAACTAAATGTATTCTCTCTTGAGAAGAGGAGATTAAGGGGGATATGATCAACATGTATAAATACATCAGTGGTTCATATAGTGAACTCGGTGTAGAGTTATTCACCCTGAGGTCAACACAGAGGACAAGGGGGCACTCTTTATGTCTGGAGGAAAAGAAATTTAATCTCCAAACATGGAAAGGTTTCTTCACAGTGAGAGCTGTGAAAATGTGTAATAGACTCCCTCAAGAGTTGTTCTGGCCAGCTCAGTGGATTGCTTCAAAAAAGGCCTGGATTCTTTCACACAGAATATAAACTGGATACTAACATTTATAGGCTTTGCTGGGGGGGGGGGGGGGAGTTTCTCTCTGGATCAACTGTGGGTATAGGATTATAATTTTTTTTTTCCTATGGTTGAACTGGA